TGAAAGAGTTGTTTATTCTTGCTGTCATCAATTTATTTCCCATTTTCTCGAGTCAACTATAGGCTTTAACATTCACCACATCACTCTATCCAACCACTTATCTTTATGTTGTTAAAACCAGTACTCAGTTTTCAATCCTCATCTTATTAGACCATTTAACAATATATAATGTATTTAATTGTTTTCTTCATGTGGCTTCCAAGATACCACACTCTCTTGGTTTTCTTCCTACCACACTAATAGCTTCTTCATAGCTCCTTTTGTTGTTTCCTCCTAGTTTTCCAAATATCTTAATGTTGGAGTTCCCAACTTACAGCTATTTCTCTTCTCCTATCAAAATTAATTCCCTCAGTGATATCAGTCACCCTGCAGTGGGCAAACTAGAAATGCCAGACCTGCCTTGGTTTAATGTAGAGGAAAGGTTTCACAGGCTTAGGGAGATTGAAAAGGTACGGTGAATTTGTCATTTTAGACCTACTTTATCCATACTGGGAAGGTCCAGAAAACATACCTTTCACCACTACTGGGGGAAATAAATTTATGAGGGTAGCCCCTACATCTTTGAAGAACTCTGTGATCACTCTTCTCTACAGACCTTACAGCGGGGACTACAGTCACTAAATTGAAAAACCTAAATGCAATGGGAGTAACTGATCTCCAGGTGGCAGGAGTCAAAGTAGTAGCCCTTAACTGCTAAAGGCAAGGTGGGGGGGGGGGTGGTACAGTTACCATAATGGACAGCAGAGAAGCAGCAATCAGAATAGTCTGACTTAGACAGAGAAAGACAAGTATCATATGATATCACTTATATGTGAATCTAAAAAAAGATGCAAATTTTACTTACAAACCAGAAATAGACTCACAGACATAGAAAACAAACTATGGTTACCAAATGAGAAAGGCTGGGAGAAGGATAAATTAGGAGTTCGGGATTAACAGATACACACTACTATATATAAAACAAATAAACAACAAGGACCTACTACATAGCACAGGGAACTATATTCAATTTCTTGTAATAAGCTATTGTGGAAAAGAATCTGAAAATATTTGTGTATATATGTATGTATGTATAACTGAATTATTGACTGAATTAACTGAATTGCTTTGCTGTATACCTGAAACTAACATTGTAAATCAACTATGCTTCAATAAAAAAATAAAATTAAAGGGGGAAAAAAAAGAATAGTCTGACTTGCATAGACCTGGCTAACTGATCATGGTGTTGCTAGAAATGAAATGATCTGTACAAACAGAAAAGTCCTAGGTCAAGTGAACAAAAGTCTAACCTGAATCATAAAAAAAAAAGTCACGGCACCTCATTCAGTTCCCAGACTAGAGCCAGCTGATAGACCCAGAACCATCTGAATGAACTGCCAAAAATTTATACTGCTAATTTTTCTCCCAGCCTTCCCCAAAGTGACCTACAACCTTTTGCAAAGGTAACTGTGATTGGTAAAAAGGAAATAATTAGAGCTTTGAGGGACTACTGGACCCTAACTCAGAACTGACACTAATTCCAGGAGATCCAAAACACCACTGTGATCTACCAGTCAGAGTAGGAACTTACGGAGGTCAAGTAATCAATGGAATTTTAGCTAAAGTCTGTCTCATAGTGAATGGGCCCAGTGGGTCCCCTAACCCACTCTGTGGTTATTTCCCCAATCCCAGAATTAATTATTGGAACAAATATACTCAACAACTAGCAGAATCTCCACACTGATTCCCTGACCTGCGGAGTGAGGGCTATTCAAGTGAGAAAGACCAAGTGGAATCCAGTAGAACTGCCTCCACCTAGGAAAACAGGAAACCAAAAGCAATACCATATTTCTGGAAAGACTGCAGAGATTAGTGCCATAATCAAGGACCTGAAAGATGCAGGAGCAGTGATTCCCACCGCATCCCTATTCAACTCACCTATCTAAACTGTGCAGAAGACAGGTGGATCTTAGAGAATGACAGTGGGTTATTATGAGTTTAACCAGGTGGAGACTCCAATTGCAGTTGCTCTACCAGAGGTGGTTTCACTGCTTAAGCAAATTAACACAACCCCTGGTACCTGGTACACAGCTACTGCTCTAGGCAAATGTTTTGTTTTGTTTTGTTTTCCTTTATACCTATTAGTAAAGACCACTAGAAGCAGTTTGTTTGCAGTTAGCAAGGCCAGCAGCAATACACCTTGACTCTCCTGCTTCAGGGGACTAGTTAAGTCTCCAGTCCTAAGTTAGGGGTCATAATTTAATTCACAGGTATCTTGACTGCCTTTCTCTTCCACAAGATCTCACACTGCTCCATTACATTGATAACATTACGCTGAGTGGACCTGGTGAGCAAAAGATGGACCTAGAGGAGGAACTACTCTAGACTTAATAGTAAGACATTTCCATGCCAGAGTGAGGAATTCTCTCTACAATCAGTAGACAGAGGAAGAGAAGATTGTAGCCTGGTATACAGATGATTTTGGACAATATGCAAGCTCCACCCAAAAGTGAATGGCTACAGCACTACAGCCCCTCGTTTTGGGACATTCCTGAAGGACAAAGGTAAAGGAAATCCTCCCAATGGGCAGACTTCGAGCGGTGAACCTGCTTGGTTCTTGGTCTGTAGCCAATCAGTTTTTCCCCAGCCACCCAAGTCATTCACTACCCAGTGGGCTCATGGACAAAGTGGCCATGGTAACAGGGATAGAGATTTTGCATGAGCTCAACAACATAGATTTCCACTCACCAAGTCCAACCCGGCTTGGCCCCTGCTGGGTGCCAAACTGCCAACAACAGAGACCAACACTGAGTCCCTGATGTGGCACCATTCCCCGGGTGGTAACCAGCCACATGGTAACAGGTTGATTAAAATGGGTTGCTTCCATCATGGAAGGGGAAATGTTTTATTCTTACTTGAATACACATTGACTGTATATAAATTTGCCTTCCCTGCACACAACACTTCTGCCAAAACTACCATGCATAGTTACAGAATACCTTATCCACCAACACAGTATTCTACACAGCTACTGCTTCTGATCAAGGAATTCACTTCACAGCAAATGAGGTAACAGACCCACACTCATGGAATTCACTTGGTCTTACCATGTTTCCCACCATCCTGAAGCAGATGGCTTGACAGAATGGTGGAATAGGTTTTTGAAGTTTCAATTACAATGAGTATCCAATATATGCTGCTGCCTCTCTCATACCCAGAATTCACAGGTCCAGAAACCAAGGGGTAGAAATGGGAGTGGCACCACTCACTATTTCTGTTAGTGACCTATTAGCAAAACATTTGCTCCCTGTTCCTATGACATTATGCCCTGCTGGCTTAGGTCTTAGTTCCAAAGGGAAGAATGCTTCCACCAGGAAACAAACCAATGAGTTCACGGAACTGGGAGTTAAGAATGCCATCAGGCCACTTTGGACTCCTCATATCTATGGTCAAATATACAAAGAAGGGAGTTACTGTGCTGGCTGAAGTGATTGATCCTAACTATCATGGGGAAATTGAACTGCAACTCTACAATGAAAGTAAGGAAGGTATCCTGTCTGGAATACCAGAGTTTCCTTAGGGCATCTCTTAGTATTACCACGTTCTGTGATTAAAGTCAATTGAAATCGACAACAATCCAACCCAGGCAGGACTACTAGTGGCCCAGACTCTTCAGGAATGAAGGTTTGAGTCACCCCATCAGGCAAAGAACCACAACCAGCTGAAGTATTTGCTGAAGGCAAAGGGAATGCAGAATAGATAGTGGGAAAAGGTTGTTATAAATACCAACTATAACCACATGACCAGTTTCAGAAGCTGGACTGTAATTGTCAAAAACATTTCCTCCTTATTTCCTTATGAATTTTTGTGTAATATATTTGCTTATTATATACAACAAAAATACATGCTTATATACTGATACATATATATATATAACAAATATTTTGTTTTCTTTCCTCTCTTGTTCCTTTATCATATAACATATGATGTAACCTATAGTGTTTAAGTATTGTTAATTTTACATCTTAGTATTTAAGTTACAGGATATCAGCACATTCACAAGCCTACCATTCATTCCTCTTAATGCTTTACTTTCTACATTATTTTTGTCTTCCAATGTGGCAACATTCCCAGCAAAGTCAAACTTTCTCTGCAGTTTTACCTTCCATCTATTGGAAAAGGAAAAGTTTCAAAGCTATTCCTGTGTTCTGCCATGACTGTCTTTTAGATCTATCAGTTACCTGATTTCTGTTTCATCTTCAATCTCTTCCTACAAAGTAACTCAGTCTCAAGTTTCCTCTATCCAGCTCCTATCTTCTTTAAACTGCTGCTATTTTTAAGATTATCCTAATGGATGTGTTAAGTATATTGGTGTAGCCATTTTGGAAATTGATAAAAATCAAAATACTAGCAGAGTAAACAACTTACAATCTTGTTCGTTTTTTCTATTGGACCCTTAACATGAGTCATTTCTTTGAAGTTTGTCTGTATAAGCCACTAATGTCTGATTTCACAGTTATATTAGTCAAGCCTTGACGGGACTATAATTAGGCAGTTTTACAATTTAAAGGCCTCTGATTAAAGGCTAAACTCTGTGAATCACTGGAAGTTAACTTGAAAGAGTGCAAGCATGATGATTGCACCTGTTCTTCTTTATTGTAAAGCCATCTTCAGTGTCTGCATACACGGAAATAATTGTGAAAATTTCACCTGGTTTTCTATTTTCAAAGCACTCTTTAATATGACACAGGCATATATATATATATAGAGAGAGAGAGACATAGATATATATCTATATCTATGTATAATATTTCATTCTTTTTCACCTGTCATTTTCCTTACTCTCCTCCCATCTTTTGGGACAACTTAAATGTTTCAATATGTCACATAATTTCACTAAAATGGTATTTGCTACAGGCTTCCTGAAACAAACTCCTACTGATACCAGTCGTCTCTAAAAGTATACCGCCGCCAGTACACTCCTTACTTTAATAACCACAACGTAGGAAAAAGGCACTCACATTTAGGAACCCTAGCTCATTTCTTGAAAAATGAGCCAAGACCTTAAACGATTTCTCTTCAATCCGAATTCTGAGTTCTTTTCCTTACTTTCTCCCTAAATGCTATTCTGCTCGCCTTTCCAAAACATTCCCATTCACAAGTTTTACAATAAATAAAACTTTCTCGGCCTTTCATAAGTACCCTGACTCGGACAGAACCGACAGAGATCGGAAGGTGGGAATCTAGAGTCACAGCCACCTGCACCGCGTCCGCTTCGGGCCACTCCTCCTGGAAAGCCACCTGTGACTCGACACACGATCCCCCCATGACGCGGCCGTCGCCGCGCGACTCGGAGGAGACAGCCGCGCATGCGCAGCAGCGAAGGGGCGGGGCAGGGAGCGGGGTCCGAGGGCACC